TATCCACAATATTGGAAAACACAGTGATCGAGAGAGTATTGAGATTTATTTTTCAGGACGTCTCCATCAAATGCTTTATAGCAGACTAATAGGAATTGTATATTCGGCACATACAAAGTTCAGCATATACCCTGGATCTTACGTCAGAATTTAACATTTTATGTAATTTTTTTAGCATTTACTGATCAAGCAAAAAACCTACCCCAGACAACTGTAAATGCGGTCGTTTTCGGTTTTCCTTGAATTGTCGGAGGTGACGGTCGCCCTGATAGTGAAAGAAGTTATTAAGTTCTTTCTAAATTGTTAGTACCTGAATACTAGCTGGGCCTTATGAAATGTAATTACCGTATTTACTCTTATAGACGCCGCCCCCTAATAGACGCCACATCTGGGTGCGGCGTCAATTTGAGGAAACAATTATACCAGCAATGGAAATTTATTTTCTTTTAAAACATTTTTTTATTTCGAAGTGACTGTACTTTTTTTGCTCCAACCACAGGGAGAACATTGATGTTGAAATAGAAGTTTAACTCTGGTTAAAATCATAAATTGCCAATAGACAAAATGAACACGACATTTATATGTTGAGATTTGTTACTGTTTGTTAGAAAAAAGATACAATATATAGTACGGTAAGTAGTACTGCGTGTTTTTTAATAAAAGCCGCCCCCGAATAGACACTGCCCTGGAATAAACGCCGCAACTGGATCGTGAAAAATGAAATAAACGCCGCGGCATCTATTCGAGTAAATACGGTATTACTATTTCGTGCCGAAAAAAACAGGTTCATGCAGTTAGAAACTTTTATATTAAATAGTAAAACATCTTACAAACTACGACTGATGTTGATGTGGATTGTAGTGTGATACTTGACTTGTAAGATCATGCTGACAGGCTACAACAAGGTCGATCATGCCTATAATACCTGGTTTTTCTGGGGCAGTAGTGAACATTGCTATTTCACTCCATTTGCTGTTTCCCTGGCTATTCATGGCAGATACCTATGATATGAAGAATGATAGCTACTTTGAATTATATTCCAATCCTGCAAACATGGATAATACTTAACAAAACATAAAAGATGGTAACCGATGACATTCCGACCTATAAACAATATCTTCAAAACGGTTACGGGAAAGTAGAGCGCACACTGAAATATTTTAAATATTACACCTTCAAGAGGGAGAAACAAAAGCAAGTCAAAACAGTGATCGCACTTAAGAACCAAGTGGACTAAGAACATTTTGGCGGAAATTTGCTTTTTCATTTTTATGCAAACAGGTTTTTATRTATGGGCTTCAGCAACCTTACTGTATAATTATCTTGGAAAATTTATGATATAAAACAGTCAAGAAACGAGGAAAAAACTACATGTATTAGCAATCAAAAGAGAACAATATTCTGCTATTTTGATGCTTTTCAAGTTTGGTGACTGTTTATGATGGTAGTCCTACTCTCAGAGTGACCCCTTCTTGTCAAGTTTGCTTGTAAAGGAGGCTTATGTTTTAACTCTTCTGGTAGGATGACCTACAAATGTTTATTGAATCCAACCTGCTGTAAAGCTAATTGCAAACTGCTATGTATCCACTTGGGAATACATATCACGTGTAATTAATAATGCTTAGTATACATGTTATGTATCATGATTGTCAAATTACAAGAGTCAGTTAAATGTAACTCAGGAATTAAATGTACAATATGGCTCTATRGCTCTGCTCTGTGTTTCTCTGACTTAATACACTACACAAACCTCACCCTAAATTTATATATTGTATTTCTCTTCAGTTTTTCATTTTTCCATCTGTTGTCTGATCCTCTGTAGGCCACCATAAAACCATATGCCTTTAATTTGAAGGAAATATAATAATTCAGGTAAAAAATCATTAAGACAGAGTGTAAATGCTGTCTAAAATGTAATTGAATGTACCATCTAATGCGTCCTTACAACACAGTTAATAGAGAGGACTCTAACTATCCTTACAGTGACAAGAAGGAAAACAAAATGAAAGCAAAGCACAATGTACACATGGAATGAAATATGAACAAAAAGTATCAAAGCTTACCATTGATGTATCTTCCATCTCTAACAAATATTCAGCAATCTCAGCTATGAAAAGAAAAAGAAAAAAACATCTCGCCATTTGTAGCAGATTGCCAAAGGTCATTGTCTGACATGAATGAATGAAAAAATCTTTATACTTCTAATACCACTGTTGTCTTACCTCCATTACACTCAGGTATGTTCCAGATTACTGTTAAGTAATTAGCACCAGCACTTTCTAAAGTGGGAGAGTCAGGTGCATCTGGTACACTAGCACTAGTGTGAGTTGTTAGATCTTTACTGAATTCACTAAAATACAGTAAAAGACATTAGGAACGACTGTAGCGGAGTATCGTCAAACGCAATCAGGTCCGGGACGTGTGTTACTGACTATTTAATGTATAATAACGTAGACGTAAAACTACAATACAAATACAGAGAAAAACGCTAGTTACGATACAAGCTATATCAATAGAAACGATTACAAGCAAACACAACGAAAACGAAACTTACCGACTGTCCCACACAAAGGCGATACTCCGAGTACAGAATTTACAGCTCAATTCGCAGTTCCACAAAGTACGTTGTATACAACACGAAGACGAGAGAAAACTAATACTAAACGAATTTACATGAACACAATTCTCGTGGGACAGTACAAAAAACTGATAATACAAAGAACTAGAATACACGCGGGAAAACTAAAATGACAACGRAACTAAAGCTAAAGCGGAAACGGAAACGAACTACTAAACGGAAACGGAAATACTATATAAAACAAAGCGTATACAATAACTTTACAACGACATTATAAGTCAAGATCAACAAATTGCCAAGCAATCATTCAAGAAGGCGATTATGATCTCAAAATGATCATGACAATCAAGAATCATTCAATCCCATCCACCAAAAAGTGTATAAACAATGACACTGATAGTAGCAAGTTTTCCTTAAAAGGAAATGTATGCTAAATTACAGTGATTCACTAGAATTGAGAGGGGAAATTTTTGGCAATTTTAATATTAAATGTATGGAGAAAAAATGAAATTCAAAATTAACTGTAAATTTTCATTCTTGCTACTCTAATGGTGTGATAGCTCTACTAGTTATGTTRTTTATAGATATAATGAGAAGCTAAGTGAGCATTGGTTGAACCGTACCTTTCTCCTATTTCATTGATGGCTTTCACTCTAAAAACGCACTTAGTGCCTGGTGGTAATTTATGCAAAAGCTTGTGATGACGTTGTATACCGCTGTAAATTGCATGGTACTTTCCATCACCTACACCCTTGTCCCACTCTAAAATGTAATTTATCAGTGGTGATCCATTGTCACTTGKGGCCTGGGTATCAAAAGAAAAAAATRATTATTATAATTATAATAAGTAGATAATTACGTCTATTGCTCATATAGGGGTGCATGCTGCATCGAAGGACTCCCCATAAAAAACTGGGAATTAAATCGACATTCTGAGAGACTCTACTAGAATCCACAGAGAAGGTACACTAAACAAAAGTCAGGAATGGATTTAGAGGGGGTAAGAGACGCCCCTTTTGCTGAACACAATTTTTTTTTTCAAAAAAGTCAAAAGAAACTATCTGTTAGCGCCATAGCGCCAACAGTGTTTTTTTGTTTGCTTTTGTCTTTGTTTCGTTAAGTAGTGTCGCCATTGTATTCGTTAGCCTAAGTCAACGTTCGTTTATTTCCTTTGTTTCATATGTTCTATGCTAATTTCGTTCAGTTTAAGCGCTCGTTTTGAATATTTTAGTCAGTCTTGTCATATCTTAGTATCGAGTGCGTCGCACAGTTTGTTTGTAAGTATTTTCATTTTTTCCTTCTCTTTAATATCATTTTCCATGTTATATAGTACAGTTAATTGTATTTGTAAATTTATTACGTAGGAACCTTGCTTGCTTCGCATAAGTGTTTTCGACAAAGTGCATGTAAATAAAAAACTTGATCTGTAACGTTCATTGGTATGGCGACCTYACTATCATAATAAATATATTAAAAAACATCAAAAAATATAATAACATTCAAACAACTTTGCTTTTGCCAGCATATAATTATGACTGTCATTTTTAATTTATCATTTGCATTTTAGAACTTGCTTTAACTTTTTTTTTTTCCATTACCAACATGGCGGCAGCACGTGGCGCTCTCCAGAGATTATACCTTTACTATCTTTTTTACATTCTTCTACGAGGGTCAATGTCTCTAGAACTGTCCCTAGGAACTGGAAGCTTATCATGTTCGCTTGCAGTTGGCAAATCCCTGACTCAGACCGAAATACCAAGTAATATTCGCAAAAAGCTGAAACAACTTGAGACTCCTACGCGAATCAAAATTGGCGAAAGTTTGTCAACTTCTGCAATGTTGCTCTCTGGCCGCACTTGTACTGCTTTCAGGTGATGTCTCTCCTAATCCTGGCTGGAATAAACCTATTCTMAACAGCCCTGGCATGAAAATCGCCCACCTCAACGTTCGCAGTTTATCTCAACATTTTGATGAATTCCAAATATTTCTGCAGGACAACCCTTTTGACGTTATTTGCCTTACTGAGACCTGGCTAAATTAAAGTGACCCGGACGACGACTTTATGATTGATGGTTATAATCTGGTTCGTTCTGATAGGGCTGCTGAGCACAGAGGCGGCGGGACTGCTATTTATTGTAACGCAAAATTGTGGTCTAGGCAAAGATTCGACCTTAGTGCGGACCTGGACATTGAAGCTACTTGGCTCGAAATCACATTCCTGAACCGGAGCAAAATGCTTGTTACTGTCCAGATAAAGAATCTTATCGCAACTACAAGCCTGTTCTTGAAGAAATGCTAGAACGAGCAGCGGTAGAGGGCACTGAACAAGTTTTTTGGGGGGATTTTAATCAGGATTTACTTCCTAAAAAACTATCGTCTGATGCAAGAGACTTACGCCAACTGTTTACATCTTATCAGTTCACGCAACTTATTAAAGATCCTACGCGTATTACTGCAACTTCTCAAACGCTGCTGGACCATATTTATGCTTCAAATGTAGACAAAGTCATCGCGTCCGGGGTCGCACAATGTTCCATAAGTGATCACTCACTTACATATCTCATACGGCGATCAAAACAAAAACGAGGACCTTCAAAGACTATAAATTATAGAAACTTTAAAGATTACTCATCCGACAACTTTCTCGCAGATCTGCATAGAGTCTCTTGGGATCGCGTGGACACCTCGCTAACTGTTGATGATGCTTGGGAGGTGTTTATTACGAATTTCAGGAATGTAATTGATCAGCATACGCCTCTTGCCGCCAGACGCGTCCGCGCATCCACTCTTCCGTAGCTAAATAACGACATCAGAACAATGATGCGCACGAGAGACTTTCAACACAAAAAAGCTCAAAAAACAAAGAGCGCTCTCGATTGGACAATGTACAAAGAATCACGGAACAAAAAAACTCGTCTTATTCGCGAATCAAAGCGGAACTACTATTCTGAAGTAATAAATGCCAATAAAAAGGACTCGGGAAAGCTGTGGAAAACACTCAAATCAATAATCTCCAGCTCTAAAAAAAGCCGAAACACCAGCTCCTTAGAAACATCTGCGGGTCTGTCTTATGAACCTCGCGAAATTGCCCAAGGCTTCTCTGATTATTTTAGAACAGCAATAACAAAGATCAGACAAAATTTGCTTCCCTCTGTGGTCTCACCAACGCAATCGCAGAAAGCTCTCAGTGTTTTTCGATTGTCTGGCGTAACCGAAGACTTTGTTCTTAGTGAACTTTTGAAGATCAAGTCATCGAAATCCACTGGACTCAGGGATATTCCTGCTCGCCTATTGAAAGATGGGGCTCCTGCAATATCAAAGCCGCTGACCACTCTTATAAATCGTTCTCTGGCTGAAGGTTCCATACCGTCAGATTGGAAACATGCTGTGGTTACACCTGTCTATAAGTCTGGTCATGTGTCAGATGCGGCAAACTATCGCCCTATCTCGACTCTTCCTTTATTTTCAAAAATCCTCGAACGTGCTGTCCACTCTATGGTCTACAGCTATCTTCAGGAGAATCACTTACTCAGCAACTACAAATCTGGCTTCAGGCCATTATACTCAACATCCACCTGCCTAACTGATGTATCCAACAGACTGCTGCAGGGCGTGGACAGAGGTCAGATGTCTGGAATGGTCTTCTTAGACCTTTCCAAAGCATTTGATACTATTGACCACGCCCTGATGCTGAATAAACTGAAAGATCTAGGTTTTTCCGATGCAGCTGTAAACTGGTTTAAAGCCTATTTAAGCAATAGGTCACAGAGTGTATGTGTTAATGGTGTTGTTTCGGACCCTCAACCGATTGCATTTGGCGTTCCCCAAGGTTCTATCCTTGGCCCGCTGCTTTTCATAGCATATATTAACGATCTTCCATCTGTAGTTAATAA